TGGCCTTTAACTTGAAATTCAGTCTGAATGCTCAATTTAGTGTATAACCCTGCATATAAGAACCAAATCACTCTAGAGGGGCTAATATGGAGACCTTATATAAATACAATCTCACTATTGGGTGTAATATGTAGAAAGCATATGGCTAAAATCACATTACAGCTATTTTGTTTTTAATCGTACATTCAGTTACACGCTAACTTTCAGTTTATGAAAGCAGATTAACAGCTAACAAGATTTCTTGCCAATGCAAGACGTTTCACTAGCCCTATAAAACCAGATTCTATTTCATGGTACCTTTGGATAACATTTAATTGGAGAGTCTTTTGTAAAACTACACTGGAATTTAGAATACTGTCAGTTCTAACACATGCTGGAAATGTGTATGTGCACAGCTAGAACTGCCTTTCATATACCATGTAGCGGCTCACTATATTTCAGCTGTAGTGTGCATTAATTCCATTCTTATGTGATACAATAATAACACAGCTCTGATTGTGCAATAGAAAGTTAAACCTCTCTTGGATCAGGGTTACCCTAAGGTGGTTCTTGAGCTGCTATAAAACTGTAAAAGAATAAAAAGAAAATATATGTTGCGTTCATGAATTTGTCACAAATATAGACACGTGTGTGTGTGTGTGTGTGTGTGTATGTGTGTGTATGCATATACACACACAAACTGTATATATATTTATTTAGATCAATGTATACTCACTGTTTCCCATCTATTGATATTAATAAAAATAATATAGATGTCTCAATTGTATCAATGCAAATAATGGATTACATTTTAAATATCACAAAAAGTAAAGAATAAATACAGTCGAACCTTGGAAGTCGAACATAATCTGTTCCAGAAGGCTGTTTGAGAATCGATTTGTTCAAAAACCGAATCAAAAGTTTCCATAAAAATGAATGTAAATGTAAATTAATTTGTTCCAGACCCCCAAAATGACACAATTTTAACACAAATATTACAGTTTAATCAGAGGCGGCTCTCTAATTAGGCGATTAAGGCGGCTGCCTAAGGCCTCGCGCTGGCTGGGGCCTCGCGGCCGCCTAAATCGCCCAAGGGCAGACATACATTTCGGATCCTCGGTCCATGACCGAGGATCCGACATCAGGGGGAAACCGGCGGCTTGCCCTTTATGCCGCCGGGTGCGAGGCCCCCTCAGTCCGCCCGGAGAGCCAGCCTTCAGTCTGCAGCTTCTCCGGGTGTGAGCTGCAGACTGAAGTGTCTCGCGATCCCCAGCCAATCAGAGCATTGCCGCGGGTTTCCACGGCAACGCTCTGACTTCTGGAGATCGCGAGACTCCTATCACGTGGTCTGCAGCTCACACCCGGCGGAGCTGCAGACCGGATAGGAGGCCCACTGGACCACCAGGGAGCCAGGACACTGGACCACCAGGGAGCCAGGACACTGGACCACCAGGGACACCTGCAAAGGTAGTTAATTACCTCTCCCTCACCAAGTCCCCTGTCACCCCTCAAAGCCCCCTGTCTCCCCCTAAGTCCCCTGTCACCCCCTAAGTCCCCTGTAAGTCCCCTGTCACCCCCTAAGTCCCCTGTCTCCCCCTAAGTCCCC